CGAAAATCAGGTATCGTTCTCCGCCATTTCCAGTCACCAGGGAACCGCCAACATTCGGTTGCATAGCCACAAATCAATTTAGGGTTTTGTTGGAGACTTGGAGTAATTTAAAAACACAAAAATAGGCCCCGTAACCTAACACCTCTGTTTTATGTGGCGCGCCTCGCCTCACCACGCCACACCTCATGCTATGGCGACACCTTTTCAATCATGACAAGACAACAACTTGCCATCTGAAACAAATTGTAGCATCATGATGAAGATAATGATTATTATGTAGATGTTAATTATACTTAATGATTCTTTATCCTAGTTTCTCACCTACTAAGGATCTTTTTAAATATTTTAAATATCTTAGAAAAAAGATTGTGTGGGTTTGTTCTTCAAAACCCTAATATTAAAGGTTCTTTCATATTTTTAGGGTACCTGACATCAGAATAAAAGGAAAAAAAAAGTATCCAATGTTATCTCTTAAAGTATTCATCCAAAATCGACATATGAGGTGATGTTTTTATCATTGTTCGTGCTTCTAGCTATCCAGAGAGCACGCTGCTTAGACAGAATAAACTACACGAACCATAACCACTCATCCATCAATAGAACCGNAATAACGCTGCAAATCTCAAGTAACAGTTTGGGTCATCGGGTGAACTACGCCATCAAAACCATGGTCAGAACAAGCTCCAGGACAGCTTCTATTCATCCCCACTGCCCCACATTCTGTCAGACAAGGAGGACGACAGCTATACTGCCAATTTTTGGAGAGCAAACTGACTGTTCCCGAGGTTCGCAAAGAAAACATTGGGAGTTCAATGTTGGAGATTGTGGCTATAATGGACCACCGAATTGATGGTCAAAAGGACGGCACTATTTTGAAAATGTAGAATTAGGGCCTCTGTAGTTGACGAGAAGGGATGATTTTCTTAGGCAGCCAATTTTCGGCACATGAATTGATGTCCTTAGAGCCTATTCAAGGTGAAAGTTTCGCTGAGATAGATGTTGTTTGCATCCTATATGGCCTCAGAAGTTTGCAAGAGTAAGTATAGACTTGATGTTGAAATTTGCAGTTTCTTCATGCTTTATATTATAGATACGTTTGCATCCATGATATTTGCACTTCACAAAGATGATGTCTGTAATAGCCCAGTTCTGTATTAATAAAAATGACAGTTTTTAGTTCCCAGTTGAACTATTTCTTTTTATTAATACTGCTCGTCTTGAGTTCCGAGCCCAGTTATCAGCTATTCAATCTCAGTTATTAATTCCGATCCATTTATTTTATTAATGGATTTTATTCAGTCGGAATTAGTTATTCCAGTTGACGAATAATCGAAACTGAGTTTGTTTCGATAAATCGTCCAAGTTTAGCCGTGTCCGGAACCGAGTTGTTCGGTCGCGAGTATCGCGCCTAGTTCGCGCCTAGCCAATTCTCGAGCCCTAGTTGTCTCGAGTCTTGTTCGAGCCCTAGCCATGCTCATAGCCTTACTTAGAATATTTCTAAGTATGAGATTATATTTATCAAGTCTTGGATGTTATTCCCTCGGTCTAGTATACCGCACCTAGTTCGTGCGTGGCCCCGAGATCACTCGCGCCTAGGGTTCGCGAGTTCGGGCCAAAGCCGTGCCGAGTTCGCACCAAGTCATGACCAAGTATTGAGGGGATTTTCCTAGGTTTGGTGGCACCTAAGTGTGGCCATTTTTCAGCCCTAGCCAAGGGTTAGCCTCGATTCAAGTGCATTCCAAGCCGGGCCATGAGTCGCGCCTAGTACCCGCACCCTAGCCCCGCGCGAGTCAAGTATGGTGGCCCAAGTCATGGCCAAACACCTTTGGAATTTTCCTAAGTGTGGAGAACTCTTTTTCCAGCCCTAAGCATGTGGCATAATCGGCCCAAGTATTTTTCTCGCGCGCAGCCCGAACCAGGCCCAAGTGTTTTTCTCGCGCGCAGCCCGGGCCAGCAGTTCCCGCGCCCAGCCCGCGCCTAGCTCGCGCCCAGGGCCCAGCAGCGCCCAGGCCCAGCGCTGGCAGCGCACCAGCCCACTTCTCGAGCCCAATGTGGAGTTTTTCGGCCCACTTCCCCAGGGCCCAACCTCATGCGTGTATTAAGAGATTAATTAGGGATTAATTCAGCTTAATTATCCCTAAGAAAGGATTAAGGGCAATCACATGGCTATTAGCATTTTTTTATTGGTAGTGGGCTTGAGTGGGGGCATTGTTTAATGCTTGGCCTTGTCCCTTAGTGGTGCCACTCCCTTGGGAACGTCCAGAGCTGACCAAAACTTGCCAAAGCACCAGGATTCTCCTCCAAGTTCGTGCATGTCAGCCCAAACCCCATCACCCTTGTCCCATGCGCATGTGTAGTGCATTTTGTCCCAATTTTGTGAGCCTTGTGCACTTTGTATCCTCCGCCCATATTCTCTATACAAGGGATGTCCTCAGCACTTCCCCAGCTCTTGGACACATTAATCACTTATCATATTTGAGGGGAAAACAAGAGAAAAACGAAGTGTGCCTTAGCCCAAGCCGCGCACGCACATTGACCCCGGGGAAGAGGAAGCTCGGCTAATTCGTGCTCCAGCCTTTCATCTCGAGTCTTAGCATCTTCCAAATATTATTTTGGATTTTTCTAAGTCCCATGAAGCTATCCTCCTCAGCCATTCAAGCCCCAAAGCCGAGACCAAGTTCCTAGGGCCGCGAGATCCCCGAGCAAAGTCCTTTGGCACCATTTCGACTTTTGAGCAAGGTTAGCTCGTGACAACCATTTTTCCTAACTTATTCATGATAAAATAAGATTTATCATGTACAAAAATGATGCCATGCACGAGAAGAATATGGAGATTTGGATTTTTGAAGATTTAAGCCCTAATTTCGTAAGTTATGGTACATGCATGATATGGCCGAGATTAGCATCTTAAAAATCCTCAAAAATCATGAGTATGACATGGTTAAAACAGTTTCATGCTTTGAGTTCATTTGTTCGGTCAATTTGTTAAGTGAAATCGAGCCATTTTCACCCCCGAACCTAAGTATATGTGCATGCATGTATTGACCAATGTTCTAGCCTCATTAGCCATGATTTTTGATGTATATCATTCGGCCCTAGGTCAATTTTCATGTTGAGCATGTTCATTTTTGTGCCCTAGGGTGGCCTCGTGCCTAATCGGCCCTATAAGCCCACCACCAAATCCAACCGAGGTCCCTCAGTGACTTTTGGCATTTTTGAGCATTTTATGTCATATTAGGTTGATTTGGTTCAGTAGTCCCCGGCAAAGTTGCCGGAAGTTTGGCAAAGGACCGGCTAGGGTCACCAGCCGCGCCAGTCGCGCGTGCCGTGCCCGTGCCGCGTCGCAGGGGCCAGGCAGTGCCCCTGTCCGTGCCCGCGCCTAGCGCTCGCGAGGCACCGCAGTCCCCAGTGCACGTGACAGCGCCCAGCCGCGCCTGTCCGTGCCAGCCCGCGAGGTCTCAGCGCCAGTCGCGCCAGAGCACCTCCGACAGCGCCCGGCAGCGCTGTCCCAGTGTCATGCACGCGTGATCCCGAGCCAGTCGCTCGTACCACGCGGAGTCGACCTCGGGTCGTGCCAGCAGCGCACCCGAGTGTCCAGTGCCGTGCTGTAGTGACCCCGAGTCAGGTCCAGAGGCCTCGGGACGTGCCCAGCAGCACGCCCGAGTAGTCAGTTAGCCCGGGACGTGCCCAGCAGCATGCCCGCGTGCCCAGGGTCGCCCGGTAGCACCCTGACAGCCCTAGCCGCGCCCGAGCCGCGCGAGTAGTGTCTGGCCACGTCCGTTCTCGCGCCAGTCGCACTCGGGTCGTGCCAGCCGCACGCCCAGTGCCCAGTCAACCCGGGTACGCGCCAGTTCCCGCGTCCCTCGTGCTCGACCGTGCCCAGCAGCACGCCAGCACACCCAGTGACTCTCGGTCGTGCCCAGCCGCACCTAGTGGCACCAGTCGTGCCAGGGCCCGTGCCAGCCGCACAGCCCGCGCCCAGCAGCGCCTAGTACCGTGCCCGGTCGCACCCAGCTAGTGCCCAGCGCCGTGCCATGGCCCCAGCAGGCCCGGCACGGGATCGAGCCCGGCCAGTCCGAGCAGCCCGTGACCAACCGGTCCAGTGTGACCCGGTGGTCCAACCGGGTCCGGTCCAGCCCGACCCGGTTCAGCCAGTTAGCGAACCGGCCGGTTTAGCCGGCGGTTCGAGTCCGTTTTGGTTCGTGATTTTCGGTCCGAGTCTTATTCCGAAATTTAAGTATTTTTCCGAGCCAAACCAGATCAGTTAAGCATATCAGTATTATTTCCGGACTTAGAATTATTTCTGTGAACCCTTAGAGCGTTCCTTTATATCCGGATGAGTAATCTGATAGAGTAGAGCATCCTAGCATATTTTTGAGCATATGACGAGCATAGTACTTAGTATATTTGTTTGCTTATATTTTTATGTAGCTTGAGGAGTCAGCTACCAGCACAGCCGCACTTACTCATTTTCAAAACCGATCAGGTGGGGACCCAGTCTGGGTTATACATTGAGTTTAATAGTCGCTATCACGTTCAGGTATGTATATGAGTTTTATCCACTTTGTGTTAAGGCCAAGTTTGCCTTCCCTAAGTTCTGGTGGTGGCCCAGTTTGCCCTAGTTATACCATCAGAGTGTGCACACGGTTACCGGCCAGAGTGTTCCGGGAGTTACCGGCCAGAGAGTTCCGGGAGTTACAGTTTACTTATATATACCAGTCTGTGATATCATTATTAATATTGCTGTTTACTTTAGAATGGGTTTTTATGGAGTACAAGTGGACCGTACTCACCCCCACTTTATATTTTCAGATGGCAGGGTCGGCGGGCAGGCATGAGTCAAGCTTTGGTGGTGGTGGTCGTGAGTTCCGCACGAAAGCTGTTCCCGGGACATTTGTTTAAACTGTTTGTAAACTAAATAATTCCACGCATTTCAGACTTCCGCTATGCTTGTGTTTATTTTCGAACATGCATGATGCTATTTTCAGACTTAAATAATTTTACCCGGTTCGCCAGTACGAACGGGTCCAGACTAATATGCATGATTCGTAAAAATATAAACCTGAATTCTTTAAGTCTAAACCAGTTGTTAGACCTAGGTTAAAGAAACGGGTTTTTAAGCAGAAAAGTCCTTAGCAGCATCCCGAGATAGTTTGCAAATGATTTTGAAAAATTTATAAGCGTTTTCGAAAGAGTTAAAATTTGCGAAAAATTGGCCCTAGTTAGCGGGGTGTTGCAATGTCACATGTGAGGAACTAAGGAAGGGTGGTCAATAAGAAGTGGGCTGCAAACTGACAAAGTTGGGAACAGATATGCTGATGCAGATGAGAATGGCTACAGCTTCTTGAAAGCTTGGTTCGGATTATTTTATCACTGACCAAACTTGAACAAAATTTAGATTCCGAGGCGTCATTCTCACACTCCTATTCAGTTTGGCAGTTTTCCTAGTGATAATCCCCAATTGTCTCAACCCTAAGAAGACTGTAAAGGTAATAATGTAAACATTTATCTTATCTGTCAAGATGATTCAATATTTTATATATTTTCGAAAGTCATCTATGCATAAATTTTTGCTATGCTAAGAACCCTCCAAAACTAGAATCAAAGGGTCGTTTCTACATTTTTCCAGGGTGGTTGAAGTAGAAATTTATGGTATTCAAATACAATATTGCATTCCTTGTTGAAGTTATCACATTCCAAAATCAAGTTGGCAATTCCTGCAACTGGTTGCTTCCAAAATTAACAGCTCATAAATTTATGTAACACGCAACTGATAGGATCAATAAGAGGTAAGTTTCGTTTATATTTCCATAGCCTGATACAAATGCAAGGAAAACATTTCTAACTATATTGTCAAATATAAACATTTTCCATCATAATGCCTGAAGGTACTGTTACCATATTGGGATTTCAGAATAGATCTTACCACCCATGAGCTCATCCTCATCAATGTCATCAGGTACATTGTAGCTTCTGCCAAGAGATTCTTGGATTTCATTGCTCACATCCATGAGGTCCATCATCTCATCTTGCAAGTTCTGAAAAAAATAAATAAATAAATAAAAATAAATTAAATAAATAAATCTACTAACAAATATATGAAAAGTTTGAACCAGATATCCAGCACAATAGAAGTGAACAATAAGAGGAATGAGATACAAACATCTATATCTTGAATTTTCACAGTTTTCATCATTCCTTTAAGCTCTTTGTTTGCCGACTTCAATGCTGACATCTGCGAAAAACATGGCACTATTAGTGATATGCTAAGTAGAGCCATATAAAATCTCAGTTGATGTGCTTACTAATCAAATTATCACCTCAAAAAGGGAACATAAACCATAAGTAATAAATGCAATAACACCATAATCATGCATCAAACCATGGATGCATAAATTTCAGAAGAATTCACTAATTATATGTAAAGTGCTATACTCCATTTCTGATCAAGCAGATAAAATAAGTAATCAATGCTTCTAGAATGAACAACTAATAAAATTAAAGAAATAAAGAAGAAACGGTCTTGAATAAAGTCATGTGGAGTAGAAAACAAAACAGCTCACGATGCTTACTGTTTGTTGAGCATCTTTGATTCCCTCAGCAGCAAATGCAACTTGATCCAGGTTGAATGTCTGGTTGTATAGCATATCACGCTGACCTTCATACCTGTCCAACTCAAGAAAAGATGAGTATGCCAAACATAGATGAACAAAGATCAGTTTTAAATGTGAACTTTACGAGCATCAGAGATGGGTTTGACTTCTAAGCTTTAACCATATGCACCAAGTCAACGAATCAGATTTAATGACAGCAGAAAAGTAACTTGTACATGGAAATATATAGGAAACTCGAGCACTTTCAGACAAGGATCATAAAGATTATTCACAACTACATTCTGATTTTTTCTTTTTTCCTTTAAACAGGACAAATAATTCACAAGTGGAACATTTTCACCTTATCAACAGGTACAATTTGCATGTAGCAGCCAGAAACCCACATGCACCATGTTCAACAACACTCACTTCAAAACTAGCATAAGCTAAAATAATTTACTTCTCAGATTGCAAAATGTGAAAATACTAGACAATCAACAATGATCATAGACTTGTAGAATATATATACGTTATTTTGGGCACTAAGACAGAAACTAAGTATTTACAAACATATATCTCTACCAATCGATAAACAATTGAGTCTTAGTTTAAAGGCATACCCACAGAGAAAATATCACTTTGCGGTACTTTCTGATGTATATTATGCACACATGTATATTCATACTCTTTTTTTTTTTTTTTTTTNNNGTCATTGAATAGAATCCCAAAACAACCAGCAACTAACCTGTTACAAACCATTCTATTTTAGTTCTAGAATAAATTAACAAGCTTCAGGCCCGAAGGGTTAAGATGCCCATTAGAATTATTTTGCTAGGGTTAGTTATCCATTTGAGTGAGTTATGGGTGTTAACTATAATATAGGCCCAACCCATACACACTTAAGGCCCTAAGTCTATATATATATGGACATCTTCAGATGTGAATAATTTATTCGTCCAAAACCCTAAGATTCGCAACATGGTATCATAGTCGTACAAATAAATATTTTTTTCCGATCTCATCTCCCACACCACTCAACTCGTTGCCTAGGGATAGACTTTCCGGCCAAGTTTCGCCACCGGAGGCCGCGCGTGTAAGCCACACGAGCCCCAAAATCTTCTGTCGGCCATCTCACGCGTCGGCGCGTGAGAGCGCGTGGCCCGCCGGAATTTTTTCGGCGCACGTCCGTGGGTTCGGAATTTTGTTCTCTTGCTGCCAGTGATTTTAGTATTGGGATTTGGGAGATTTTGGTGTCCGTTTTGTCCTTTTTCAAATCCGTCCGTCACTTGTCAGGGTTAGGATTCATAGATTCATGTACTCTAATCTGTCCCCGTCAATTTTTGTTTTTTTGTTGTCACTCGCCTGTCGTGCGCCCCTACGCTGCCCGTCGCAACACCTTTATTGGCGTATGTTTCCAAATCATGTCACAACTTCATGCAATTGCTATCAATATTACTCTTGGTTGTCAGAATTATCGAGAGTGGGCTTTTTCGGTTGAAATCGTGTTGAGGGGTTATGGTTTGGCTTTCCAACCTAGGATTAGTGAAAAAACACGACACAAGTAAATAAAGTGCTTCTATTCAAACAGCTCATGAGCATCTTTTCATGTGACATCTGATAACTCCCAGTTGGTTCATGGTTGCATGCAAGGTGGTCACTGATGGTGCTTCTATTCAACACTTCTTGCCATATCACTCATGAGGCTTCTCTATGCAACCCACGTGGGCATGTTGAAGCTTTACAAGCAGGACATGGAAGATCCGAGCTGAGAGCAATCACAAAGGGCACCGCCACTCACAACCAAGACTCTGTGCAGGAAGGTGGACAAGGTGCTGTGCGGCAAAAGAAGCGTTACCTTATCAAATGGAAGCCCCGTCTGAAGCTTCATAAGAATTCTATGAAAACCTGTTGCAGTTTTGGGACATCCATGGCAAGTACGAGGCAACGAAGACGCCACCACAATAGGTGGGGGAGAATAGAGCAAGATCTTGTTGGAGGCCTTAAAACATTTATAGATTGGGGAATATTTGTGTGGAAGGATTTAGACTATGCATAAGAGGAAGGTACCAGGGTCCCCCTCATATGGCAACCATCAATTGTACAGTAAGTTTGAGTGAATTGTAATACAAGCTTTATTTCCTACAACCACCAAGCATCTTTGTTTAATTTCTTTAGCAAAGCCCTTACACCCACCAAGGACAATTCTTTGACTCAGTCAATTATCGTCGTTTATTTATCATACAGGGGTATTCACCATGGGTGGGGCCACTAAGAAATCTTTTCAAAACTGGAGAAATTTTATACTAACGAGTGTTAGGAGAACTTTCGATCATGCACCTCTAACAAATTGTGGGTGGCTCCAGTATCCACCAACACCATAATTTTTTTATCCCTTTACACCCACCCACCTTCGCATACATCAAGCCACTTCACGTACATCAAGCCACTTCACGTACATCAAGCCATTTGACCCAATTGGAATTATAACATCGAGTTTAGGCCCAACCTTGTCCTTTGGTGAGTCCTTTTTCCAACTCGAGTCTGGACCACCGACCACCTTGAAGTCTACTAGGTGTTCCACAACCGTAATAGCGGAAGCCTTCTCTGTTCGGCAAGGGCCCAGCCTTGCAAGCTCGCCATGAAGTTGAACCAACTTGTCTTTATGTGAGATATCCGAACTGAATTCCATGACTCAGTTCCGGAAGGCACTTCTATGCCATAAGTTACAGCGCATGTTTCTTGTAAGCCAATCACTGTTGCAAGGCAATAATTGATCTTTCAATTCCCTCTTTAGCGAGTCCCACATTTTGACCGTTTGGAGTTGTTCAAAACCTGGGAAAAGGTGGACTACCAATTTTGAGGATTTAAGCTATGTTAGACCCCAAGCCCTGCCTCTCGGGCTCTACATTACCTAACCTAATTTGCAAAACAATCCCATGACACCAACCTAACTCATTTACTACAAATGATGGCCACTATTTCCACGTCTCATTTCTGAAAGGGCAATTGTTTTTTGTGTGAAGAACCGTATAGCCAATGCATGACAACCTAACAAATCCACTTAACCGCTAATTGCTACAAAACATACGTTGAGGACATTGGTTAAGGAATAACGAGGCTCGAATTTAATGGCGAGTAGATCTTAAACAACGTAGTTCTACCAGGCTTGGACAGGGAAGCATTGCTGCAGACCATTCTAGAATAAATTAGCGAGCTTCAGGCCCATAGGATTAAGAAGCATGTTAGCATTGTTTCACTAGGGTTGATATTTTATTTAAGTGGATCCTTAGTCTTTTACATAGGGCGCAAGAGATTACCATTATTTGTCAGCTTTTAGCTTGAAGATTATTTCCCCACCAAAACCTCATATTCTTTACTTTATTTTCATAAATAATAATATTTAGTTCTTTACATTGACCTTTCACTCCTATCATAACAAGTTAACCCCACACCCCACTCATGTTCCATATGAGGTGATGCCTGTAATTGGAAAATGTAGAGGTACTTAAACTAATGTAAACCTTAGGCACCATTTGTCGACACGAAGAAGTAAATATAATGGCGAGTTAATAATTTTCTCAAGTAATTGTGTTTTGCAACTAATATATAATCCAACCCACGATTAGTGAAAAAAACATGACAGAAGTAAATAGAGTGGTGAGTTTATTAATTTTCTCAAGTAAATGTGTTCTGAAACTAATGCGTGATCACCCCTAGAATAAGTGAAAAAAGCAGCTAACGAACCCACTTACATTTATGGGTATATTTCTTATTTTACCGAAATACAAGCTCGAAGGCTAAAGTTTCCATACATAGTGTTTCACGTGCAAGCAGAAAATGCATGAAATAGTGACACATATTTTCAGTTCCAAATGATAACCTCAACATGAATCTCCTTTTCAGATGAAGATTTAACACGAATAAATAATAGTACTTCCTCAATAAATTTCTGCACTTCAAAATTATGATGCGAACTTTTAAACAGTACACAACAGTTCACACCATAAAATCATAGTCCTGAACTACAAGAACCATGCAAGTGTGGTGAACTCAAACAGTCTTAAGGGTGTCCGAAAATAATTTTTAGCATAGTCAATATCTGTTTAACTTTCTACTTGATATAGAAAGCTATCACACAGTCTCAATCCATGATATTGTGACCAACTTCAACACTCTTTGGATAGAAAAATGATAAGATGTAGTAAACCTCACTGCTATAAGAGTTTCTTGACTCAGGGTCGGGTATAGAACGAAATAGACCACGCAGTTATTAACACCGAGCAAATTGCTGTAAGTTACCAAAATGTGTAAACAGAATCCACTGTATCTAAGAGATGATGAAGACAATGTAGCTCACATTCTTTTTTGCTTAAGAACCTTCATGGCCCTAGCTTTGACTGCTTCTTGAGCTGGACCTGGACGGGTTTTCTTGATCTGCTCTTTATATCTCGTTAATTCAGCATCAAGTTTCTTTATCTTCTCATCGACATTATCACCTCTTTTGGTGATCTGATACAAAAAATTATTCTCAGAGTTGGTTAACAAATAAAGAAAATTTGAACATAGACAATCAAAACAAATAATGATTCTAGCAACTAGAAACATGTACAACCTACCACACAGCCATTTTCCCAAGCATATCAGAAGAGAAAAGTCATGAAAAAATAAGTTTAATAATTAGATGATGGACAGACGTGGAGATAGGACGAATTAGTTCCTCAAAAGAAAACAGAAACCACATTTAAAAAAAAAAAATNCAAGCAAAAAAAAAAAAAGGAAATTCAATTAGTGGGATTCCAACCCGATCTGAAGCATCTTGCACGGATGGAGGGGGTTCTTTCTCCTTCTTCACTCCGAACACCCTCCTCATGTCGCTGCTTTCGGTTTCAAATAGCTATATAAATGTATGATTATTATAGATGAAAGATGAAAAAATTGCAGCAAGGTGATCGAGGAATGGATGATGGAATTGTAATTGTCAATATATTTGCGGAAAAATCAATTTGGGTGAGGTTGGAGGAATCTTCGAGGGAATTGTTCCATATAACCCTTTCTATCAAACAAATTTGTTTAAATAACCTTTGAGGTCAAAGTCTTTATAAACAATAATTCAAAACCATAAAAACGAGAAAGACTTATATACCCTTATACCCTATTTTTAAGATTTAGAAAAATCTTAAAAAAAATTCTTATGTTCCAAACTTTTGGAAAATGAATAGGACAAATAATACTCCCCTTTCGGAAAATATTGAAAAAATTATAAATAATCAAGAATTATTTTCTTGAAAGATTTGAAAAAACAAGTAGAAATATTGAATTTCTTTATACTCTACTCTTAGAAATTCTTGATATTGCAGCAAAAGCTGACAAAATTATTGAAAATACTAACAAAATAAACGTAAATAGATTAGAAAAAACTTTAATAAAATTAGACGAGAAAATTCCACAAATTGAACCATTAATAGAAAATTTAAGTAAAATTATTTTACTTAGAAATCAAATTAGAAAAGAATTAGAACTAAATAGCTAAAACTCCTAAAATATGAAATGTACAACAGATACTAACAATAGTTAGTGAAACAAAAGAAGTTGTTCTAAAAATAGAGCAAAATATACAACAGGTAAATTCTGGTAACCAGGACACTAAATAATTAGAAATAAAACTAAATATTAAAGAAAAGAAGTCTATAACTAAATATAGACCACCAAATGAATGGGATCTTAGTAATCTGTTTGACAATGGAAGGAAAAGATTATCTAAAGAAAAATGAATAATGACAACGAGTCTATTCAGAGTGAAACTTATATTCAGTCTATCTTAGACAAGTATCAAAATGTATTATCTCTAAGGGCTCGTTTACATTGAGGGATAAGATTGATAAGATGAATTGTCCCTCAATATCCCCTGTTTACATTGAGGGATAGGGACAGGATTACATGAGTTGGCATCATATGTGGTGGCGGGCCCCACGTTGAAATATTGAGTTGGCCGATTATTTTCATCCCGCCAAGAGGAGCTGATTAATTAATCCTACACTGTAGAAGACTTTTTTGTCCTCAAAACTGGATGCAAATGGACCATTGTACCCCTTAACATCGATTTAATTACTAAACACACCATAATAAATCGTCCATTTGTGCCCTAACCCACCAAACGAGATTGCAAGAAAGCATCGACGAGATCTTCTTCATCCGCTCGCCCAGGTAAGATCGAATAACACTTTTTTCTTTGGTTTATTTTCAAGTACTTGCATACACCACTTCGATTTCGTCCCTCTCTTGATAAACCCTAGTTTTTCAGTCGTGTTTTGTCGGGATCTGCATTTTTTGTACAACTTCGAGCTTATCGTCATCCCCTCGCCAAGGTAAGCTCGAATTTCACATTATTCTTTGGTTGTTTTTCGATATTGAAAACACCACTTCGATTTCGTAGCTCTGTTCGAAAACCCTATTTTTTCAGAGACCGGTTTTGTCGAACTCGGCATTGTCTGCTCGATTTCGAATTGTTATGTTTTTTTAATTGAAGTTGATTTTCTGGTTTTTGTTTATCCATTGCGTGTGCCATTTGTGAAAATTCATCCCAAGATATGATATCTTCATAAGATTTTGATTGCTAATGTCTTTATACGAATCAAGAGACAGATCAATAAAAGAGAATTTAGTGATTATTTTACAACTTTTTATTGCATTTCTAAAGAGCATATAAAGGGCTGCTATTATTTTTCTTCAAGAATATTCAAGAAAATCTCTTCTTTCATGGTATTTCTTTGCCCAAGTGAAAAAACTGAATATTTTTTCTTCATGTAATCTGTTTTTTTTTTTTATTTCATTTACTCTCTCTCTGGTCTGATGAATTTATCGTTCTTTTGTTCCGAGCTATTCTAATTTGTTTCAGTCTTATGTTTTTCTTCTTGCAGTTTTGAGCTTTTTTTCTGAACCTGGTGACTGTCTTCTTTCATACACTGATCAGAATTCAATTTTGTTGAAGGTATGCAATGAGTTTACTTATTTTCTTGTTTACATATCACGGTCTTTGCTTATCCCTTGTTGGGCCTTGTTTGTTATTGGATTGTCTTGAAAAGGTTGAGAAAGGTTTTGTCTTTATTCCTGCATAACTGCAATGTAACAAATTGTTCAATGTAAAAAGAGATGCATTTGGGTATTTGTTTCCCTAAATTTCAGTATTTTAATGTAAATTTCTTCAGAAATTAACTGTGTATCCATTTTTGTAATGGCCATGATAGACTGGTGGGCCTTGTTGTTATTGCACTGTCTTGAAAAGGTTGAGATAAAGATTGTGTCTTTATTCCTGCATAATGGCAAAATAGCTGACTGTTATAGGTAAAAATTGTGTCTTTATCTTTTTTGTTTTCCTAATTTTTAGTTTTTTCATGTTGTCATCAGAAATTGAATTCACTCTGTATCCATTATGTTATGGCTGTGACATATGTAAATGTGGCCATTGGTTACAGATTTGTGTTTATGTTAATGTCCATAGTACTTGTTCAATTTTACTAACATTAAAGCTAAATTCTTTTGAGGTTCATTAAAGGTTCGACGGCGGAAGCATCCCCTTCTCCTTGCTTATTCTACATAACCGAGTCCTTATTAGGTACATTGTCCTTTTTCATTTAATACTCCTCTGTTATTTTATTGCATAGGGTTTTTTGCATTTTTAGATGTAATTTATGTCCTTAGTTGTCCTCAATGCATTTGGACATTGGCTTGTTTTATTTAAATTGTGTTTGTTACTCATATGAACACCAAGATCATGAGGCTCTACCTGAATTCAGTAAATATTATCTAAGTCTGCCTCTGAAATGGATATGTGGATGGTGATCTTAATTGGAAAAAAGGGTTTTTGAAAAAAATAAAATAAAATATATATGAACATATTACAGTAACATTTTGAGGTGAAAGCTCACATAGCCAACACATTAAGTTTATATTAATTCAAGCAGATGAACTCAAAACAGAGTATGCATATTATAGAAGTCACTCAGACAAAATAGATACATAAATAAAAACAAAATCAAAATTCACAAAAAGACATATATATGGAAAGAAAAACAGATATGTACCTTGAATGTTCTCTTGAGCTTCTTTTAACCTGCTTTCATCCTTGTCATTTTTGGTGTTTATACTGTCTTTATGCCACCATTTTATAGTTTCTGTTGTTTTTGTCTTTTTCTTTTTTTTTTCTTTCTATATTATTATTTATTTGTCTATAAGTTATGCTACATTTTGTATTACCAACAAGTTATTATTTATTTGTCGACCTATATGTTAGGCTATATTTTTTTTCTCTGTTATTGTGAATTTATCAATGGAAATATAAGTTTTCCTACATTTTGAATCAAGAAATTGACATAGTATTCTAATGCATTTATTCAAGGGTGGGAACATACTCTCGCGAATGAGATAGTGATTATGAATGTAACGTTATCGTCTAGCTAATGAACAACACGTTTCTGAATGATTTTCAAACTGTCCATTTTGTTTAATTACTTTACTTAGATACAATTGTGCTTCTTTTCATTGTTTAGTACGTTCACCAACATTAAGATCGTTGAATGGATGAAGTCCGCATGTTTTTCAATCTTTGTAGATGGATAACGTGCGAGACAAATTACTAATTCTCACTCTTTTGGAAGAGATTGTTCTTGGTGCCCGATTTATTTTCATAGTAGCTAATTACTACTACCACAAATTCATACTCCCTCGCTGCCGTCGACGTTCGTTCAGTAGCGGACTCACATATTGATTGAGGGATAGAGTGCCCCTTCAAGTGAGTCACATGCAACAGCTAGTCGACGTCAGCGACACCACTTGCCTTGAGAACCTTCGTATGGACAGAAACTGTTTTGGTCGCCTTTGTTTACTCCTTGAAAATTTAGGGGGTCTTGTTCAATCTAGAAACGTTGCACCGAGTGAACAAGTTGCTATGTTTCTTTCAATCCTCGCACATCACAAGAAAAACGTCACTTTGAAGTTTGATTTTACGAGATCAGGTAGAACTGTAAGCAAATACTTTAACCGTGTACTTGATGCGGTAATACGCCTTCACACCGTCCTAGCCGCCACACCTAAGCCAGTTGAAGATGGTTGTTCAGATGAAAGGTGGAAATGGTTCAAGGTAGCCCACAACACAATATCGTTAACAACGCTTAGTCAAAATTTTCTAATCTACTACTTCCAAACTAATACTAATTTTTATTATTCGTTAGGGATGTCTAGGAGCACTAGATGGCACATACATTAATGTTCGAGTCCCGTCAAAAGATAAGGGAAGATATAGGAATCGAAAGGGTCAAGTAGCAGTTAATGTACTTAGGGTGTGTGATAAAAATATGAACTTTGTCTACATGCTTTGTGGTTGGGAGGGGTCTGCTGCAGATAATCGAGTATTGAGAGATGCAATCACTAGGGCAAATTGTCTCCGAGTCCCAAACGGTATTCCCCTTATTTACAAACAATACATATGTAAAAGAGCACCCACCCGAAATACACTAAATCAAACATAACACAATCGTTTATAATGCAGGAAACTATTATTTGGTGGTCGGTGGTTACACTAATGGTCCTGGCTTTCTAGCGCCGTATAGGGGTGTGAGATATCACTTAGATGAATGGGGTACAGGGTCCCGCACTCCACAAAACTTTAAAGAACTCTACAACCTTCGGCACGCCACAGCTAGAAACGCGATTGAACGTGCTTTTGGCATTCTAAAAATGTGTTGGGCAATTCTTAGGAGTAATTGTTTTTACCCCATTCGGACCCAAAATCGCATTATCATGGTGTGCGCGCTTATACACAATTTCATACGTACAACAATGCCCGAAGACCCCATAGAGAATGAGATTCCACAATTCCCGACACCTTCCAACCCATCGTGTGACGACGAGTACATAGATCAAGTTGAATGCAGCCAGGAATGGACCCAGAAGCGCGACCTCTTAGCCCAACAAATGTTCACAGAATGGCGGGGCGGGGTTCCTTAATTTATAAACAAACATAAAATTTCTGTCCACAATGTGAACTTTCATAGGAATATTCTCAAACTGGTGACAAATGTTATTATGGATTTTTTTTTTTTTATTGTACAATAATCGGGTTGTTGAATGTGTTGTTATGTTGATTATCGGGATTAAATATTTTTGTGTTTGTGGATTTCCTATATACTGCTTCTTGAGTAATATATCATTTTGTTTGACGACATTGTTCATGCGCCTCTTTTTTGTAAATTGTGTCTTACCCAAAATAAGTAACATAAAAAAATTTGATACAACATTATTGTCGCTTCAGGAACAAATGGAAGCATCATTTACTTCGGATACCGGGAAAGAGGTTGCATCCACCTCAAAACGCCGTGTTTGGACATCGGCAGAAGAGCGAGCCCTAATTAATGCTCTTAAGGAGATTTTGGTTGAGGGTTGGAAAACGGAAAATGGCTTCAGAACGGGATACACAGTTGCTTTGGAAAAGAAGACGAGTACATTTCTTCCTGGATGTGATCTTCATGCTGACCCACACATAAGCTCCAAAATGCATGTCTGGAAGAAAACTTACGCGTGTCAGGCCAATATAAAAGCTAACAATTCGGGAATGGGTTGGAATGATATTTCCAAAAGCTTCTCATGTGATGACGAGAAGTGGGCTGCTTGGCTTAAGGTTTGTTTATAGTTAAAATTCCAACATTCATTCCTCTACAAATTTCACATAATTTACATATCCTCATTACATCTGTTGCGGCAAAAAATATGACCAATAGGTTGATCCTAATGCGAAGGGATTGAGGAACAAGTCTTTCTCCCACTATGATGATTGGGAGGTGATCTTCGGGACAGAGCCTCTGGTGGTGATGCCCAGGCTTTCGTAGACGCGGCTGAGGATGTCCAGCAGGACCCGCTGAACCAAGAACACAATGACATCCCATCGCAGACCACGCAGCACACACCATGTGATGGTAGCCCGGGCGTTGATGTCGGTCAGTCGTCGGGTACGCCGTCTGAGAGTACCTCTAGGAGAGGGGTAAGGATGAAAGGCACGAAAAGAAGGTCAACTAACTTGCTTGAAGAACGTTTCATTGATGTAATGGAAACGTTCTCGCAGAACACGGATGGGCGGTTGGCTGAAATCGCCACCAGAATGGCCAACGAGCAGGCGACACAGGCGGCGGTGGCCCAGGCTCAGATGACAGAAGTTAACAATGCGCTTCGTACTTTCCACTTTCTATCGGGTGAGGAGCGAATGGTTATATGCCTGCGTCTGTGCAACAATGCGAGAGAGCTTGCTATGTTCATGGCCATGGGGCAAGACGAGAGGGCGATGATGGTGAAGGTCATGCGTGATGGTCGGGGGTAGTGCTAAATGAAAATTGTTGGGTTTCGTTTTGATGTGTGAAGTGTAAGAACTTTTATTGTGTGGTTTTGTCGTTGTTGGGTAAACAAAAGTATGTATTGTGCACACAATTATGTATTATTTGTTGCGTGAAAATATTATTTCTTTTCTGTGTTGGGATGTTGAAAATATTAATTTTCGGTGTAATGGTGCAGTTCTTTTGCATTGCACGGTCAACATTGAATATTGGTTACCCTTGTTGGTCATATTGGTTAATCTTGTTTGTTATCCTTGTAACATTTCTTTATAATCGATCGTTGCAGGTTCACCATTTCTATCTATAGGGACGACTCGCCATGGGGGTGTTTCTACGCAAATATGGACATGCCAAACTGGCCCACCATGGTAAGTTGAAGACACCCACTTATAATTCAAGGAATATTAAAGCACTATATTTGCCAATGGGGGTGTATTTTTTTTTTTTCTCCAATATATCTATATATATAAAATGTTAACTTATCTTTAAAATAGTGACTATTTCCCGCCCAAAATAGTCGTGTCACTAAGTTTGGAAATGTATGAATCAATTTATGGTATTTTATTAGCAACATTAATGAATCCTTTTTTGGTATATAGTGGGCGGCATTTTTTGTTATTTCATTTTCGAGTGCTAAGTTTATTTTCAAATATTTCATTTCAGCTATGGAAATAGATGGACGAAATTCCATACAAATGAATATCAACCCAATAATAAAAAAATTAGTCTTACATTAAACACTTTCTTAAAATACAATATCAGTACATCAATCATAAAAGTTTGTCCACTCATATCATCACATCAGTTCCCCTCCTTTTTAAATGTTAAATGTTAATGAAATATGTAAATATAAACTCCATAGTTAGTTAAAAGTTAACTCTAAATAAACACATAAAAAATGTAGGATTTTTTATTGAATCCTACATATTAAATCCACAATCAATTGAATATTTATTTTTAAAAATAAATCTATATATATTTAAAAAGGAATATATAGCAATTTGTCAAATTATCATTAATATTTTATGACAATTTATTATGGAAATATGCTGAAACAAACTTTTGGTTAATAATAATAATAATAATAATAATAATAATAAATAACTTGCACATAATAACAATTGTGTCACAAACTTAATTATTACTATTTTTTTTTTGGTAATGGTAATCTAATTTAGTCAAAGTAACTTGGTGGTTGATTGGTAATTAACGAATTTGAAGGGAATCATAATCTTTTGACAATTATCATGATATGTTGCCAAATTATAAAAAGATTTAATTTGTGGAAATGATTACATGGATGATAGGATGCATTTTTTGTATTACCTTTATTAAAAAAATATAAGTCACGAATAGTTTAATTTATTTCCTTATTTTCGTGTGATTGAGATGTGTCCTCCCAGTTTTTATTTTGGTTCTTCGTCTGTACTATTCGAACATTGTTCGCTTTGAGTTTTATAATATTCCTATCGTTTCGTAAAAAAAAAAAAGATGTGTTTTAAAGGAGAGGTAATTTGAATTTATTTTAAAAGATATCACAAATTAGTACAAATGAAAATTCATATTTCAAAAAATAATATCCTAAAATAGTAAATAATATTTTTTGGCGGGAAACAGGTACTATTTTAAAAATAATCAAACTTATATATATATATATAGATTAATGAATATCTCTTACCTGTACATCGCAGGAGATTTGTACTTGTTAAAAGGAAATATATAAAAAATAACATTTTCACTTTGATAAGCGATTCCTCAAGCGGATTTATATTTCGGGAGACATGTGATGCCTTTTCCAGTTACTCTCATAACGGTTGAAGGCCGTCGCTACCCAATGGACATCATTAAGCTTCGGAGTAGTCCCTACGACGACGGCGACATGAGGACTACTTTGCATTTTGCCAATGGGTGGCAATACTGTAACGCCCCACTTTATTTTAAAGGATTTATCGAATTTATTTAATAAAAATCACAATAAATTTTTCGCAAACTTTAATTTAATTAATACTCAGTAGGCGCTACTCAAATTTTACCAAAAGCCTTTAACCAAAAATGCAAACGTATCAAATAAAGACAGCATGCACGAATAATAAATCATAAACCAAACTGGCATTCATTAAGTTCCAAATCATAAAGATAATTCACAATTCCAAGTTCAAAACGACACAGTCATAATATCTCAACATAAATGAGCGGAAGCAAATAAATAAGCGATAAATAAAAGCATGACCACCACCCGTCTTGTCTCGTCACCCGCCGACTGCTTAACCTGCATCAGTTACGAGCAGGTGGGAGTGAGTACAGTTAACTATCGTACTCACACTATGCATATGAATAACATAATAATGGTATGGTCGCAGCATGAACATAAACAATAAAATCATGTCACATCTCTAGCCACATCAATGACTATAGTCTCATCAAAGACTCACTCATGTACATCTATGCTCATCAAAGCTAAGCCATGCCATATCAGTGAAACATGGGAGTGCGTGCCACATCAATGACACGGCCTTCTCATAGGTCTTAATGAGATTTACCTCACAGGGTAACCGTATCTTATCATACGGGGACAACCGTATCGACGGCCATCAAGCTCACATCGATAGGCTACATGTTCATTTTCATACATAGATCACACCAAACTTTCATCACAATTTAAATCACACATATGCATAGATAATTTTAGAATAACCCACCTGGAAATTTCGGATTGATGATAGCAAATCAGAAAAGATGAGGACCGAGGCTCGACTCCTCAAACACCTACATTATGCCAAGATCCTACAATCAGAATCTATCTCGACTTAAACTGGAAATCACAAGACAGACCTAGTCGAACTCGTTTCGACTAAGTAGTTCGTGAAGTCCTGTGGATGTGGAACACTAGGACTCGGCCCTAAACTCGACCAAACCACTTAAGGGAGTTCACAAAAATCCATCTAAGGTTTGACCAAGTCAAACACACATAAAACCCAAAAAGCAAGGCCATCCAAATTCAATATAACAATTATGCTCGAAAATTGAAATCATTTAATCGCGTGAAAAATAAAAGGTCAAGATATCCTACGAATTAAGCTCTGAAAATTTATACAAAATTTTATCTCCCAGAAACATGTAAAATCACAAAGTTTCAGCTTTAAACTCGAAATATCCTATTTTATAAAATTCGAACAGTAATTCAGCAAAAAGGGCACATTAATCCATACTCAGACTTAATGAATGAATCTGAACCTGAAAATTTTACACAACAACATTCAGTATGTCAAAGCTCACTTATAAAAATTCCAGCTTTAAATGATAACTGCTGCTATTTTTAAAAATTCAAACGAGCAACAGCAGTTTATCGAATTTAAATTCAAACTGAATCAAAACAGACACTAAAAATTCCCATATTTTACAAACATGATCAAACACCTAAAATATGACTCTCAGCAAAATTTCAGAATTTTCCATGCAGTAACCGATTTTTAAAAATTCAAACAACATTTCTGCCGAATCAATAAATAAAATATTATCCATATCAAATCAACTCCAAAAATTCCAAATATTTAACACAACCCATATAAGTCACAGAGGCACGACATATTCGAATTTCAGCTCATTTCAGTCAAGCATGAATTTATTATGCATTTAACAATATTCTGGACAGAATACAAATTAATTATTAAAAATAGCTACAGGTCTCAAAAAATTATGAAAATTTTACACAAGGCAGAATATGGTCAGATAACACATCCCTCAAAATTTCACATCGTTTCGAGCAGCGAGCTATTTTTAAAAATTCGAACATCAAAACAGCGATTAACAAGCTCGACAACTTGATAATTAAATCACAACACACAATTTATCGTCCGAGGCCTTTTCATAAGACCAAAGACTCGACATTGTTCCATTATCCACCGACTTACACGACTTTCGAGGTCTCGTTCGATTTTCGAGAAAATCGAAGAGATCCCGAACATACAAACACAATAATCACAACAATTCAATATATTTGCACTTATTCAACAATAAACTCACATTATACATATAACACGAGCACAACATGAATACGAACAATTCAAGAAGCATATATGAATTAAACGAGACGGAAAAACGACGAGGTACCGTTCTCGGGAATCGAACGAGAATATGTTCGAACGGGCTCGACGGTAAACTCGTCTCGCCGGAAAAGAGAGGGCTCGATGTGCACGGGAGGGAGAAGAAGCTGCTGCTGGTTCGCGGGTTCGCCAGAAACGGAACGAAGGGTCGCCGGTCGCTGCTCGAAGAGATGCCGAGCTCGCCGGAAAAATCACAGGGCTTCACGGCGCGGCAAGGTGGTTCTGCAACTCGCCGGAAAGAGCTTCAAAGTCGCCGGACTGGTTCGGTCGCCGGAGAAAGCTCCAAGGATGATGACGATGAAGGTGCTGCGAGATGATGAAGGGACGATGATGATGATGATGAAGACGACAGATGGTGAGGGACGATGGTGATGATGAAGACGATCGAAAGAAAAAGAGAAAAGAAAACTGCTGCGGGATGTTTGGCCAAAACGATCGATACACATATATATATATACATATATATACACATATGTATATTAGGTTTGGGAAAAGAACAAAATTTCTTGTTGTCCAAGACATAAAATCACGTTCAAAATAAAAGAAAAGGAAAATCTGTCGGGCCGGGCCCGAGAAATTTGGGCCAATAGGATTTTTGGGCCGGTTGGGATAACAAAACAGCTCACAGGCTCAAATAAAAATTTAAACAGATATATTCGGGCCCAATTCGGTTACAACAAAATTATCGGGCTCGATTCTGAAAGCAAACGCGCGATAATAAACCGAAAAATAATTACATATATTTTACATATTATCACATACACATTTTCATATTAATAATTTAATCAAGACACAAAATCAATTTAAACAATTAGACACAATTTCACAATCAGCATTTAATCACATTTGACAAATAAATAAATATAATGGCATTCAATAAAATAAAATATAATTATTATTACCAATTAATAATAACAATAATAATAGTAATAAAAATAATAAAAATAAATCCCAAATAATCCACAAATAAACGGGGCGCTACAGTCTACCCACCTTACAAAGAATTCCGTCCTCGGAATTCTAACAACAAACTACTACGAGAATCTAACGAGAAACAAGAGGAGACAACATCAGCACATGAAATCCAGGTGCTTCCTCGGAATTTCGGTCTCCCTCTCCCAAGTCGCCTAGCCTTGACAACCCTCCCACTGGACTTGACGAGTTCCCCTCCCAGCCTTATCCTAATGGACCCTCTGATCCAATAGGTCACCGGTACCTCCATACAGGTAGGGTTCTGCCTATCACGCAGCTCGTCACAACTCACATATACTCCGAGATCACGCACACGTTTCCTCCATCAAGAGGCACAGAACGTGTCATGCATCCTCACGAGTTCCGGTGGTAGAGTCAACCATCAGGCTAAGTCATCGACTTGGTCTGGAATCAAAAATAGGACTGAGTATGCGGGGCAGTAACCAGAACAACGGCATACTCCACCTATATCCGTACCAGCCACCTCACATGGCACCATTAGGGTTGTCGCTAGATAGCCACCGTTACCAGCGTACCTCCCCATGGTAAGGTATTCTCACACTCTACTCCTCTATCAATACACAAGACCCTAACTGGTCCTTACGTGTCTCGATAGCATACTCCAACAGAATCAACATATAGGGTTGACTTATTGTATCGAGCTTCCATCTCGTGCCCGGGTCACGGTAGAAAACTCGATTACTATAACGACATGATCTGTGCGTCCTAAAAAAAAACAGACCACCACAGAAAATCCCATACGGATGGGCTAACAATCCACAATAACACTATATCCTCAACACC